TTTTTAAGCAAATATTGTATTAACTCAGGGGGACATCTTCAGGTTATGTATTGAATACTTGCTAATGGTATGAATAGCACCAGATTCCTGTGTTCTTGAAATGACTGCCAGGATGGGAGATGTTGCCTGGGAGTTTTAGGGACTCCTTGGCGCTGTTTGGAGGAAGCTTTACCTTACTGTTGTTGGGGTACTTTTCATGGTGGCTGGGAGCAAACACTGAGGGGCAGCTCACCCTCTTTTCCATCCCTTCGTGGATGGGCATATTAGGTGCATAGAATATAGGTCCTATTCCAGGGCACTTCATTGCCTCTACTGTGTATTGTGCATCAGCTACTGCTTTGCCACATCCCACACTAATGCCTTCAGTCCTGGTGTGACCAGGAAGCACTCCTGGTCACTGAAGAGCTGTGCAATGTTTAAATGGAGAAGTGTGTCTTTTGAACAGGCTGATCCAGAGAGTGTGGCTGAAAACTGTTCAGGTGCAATACCTCCTAATGATTTTTGTCCTCTCAAGCAGGTAGAAGTGCCTGAAAAGACAAAGAGTCTTGGAACCAAACATGCAGGCGACAGTATTTCTGACACTGTTTCTTATGTAAGTTGAAAATGCACTTGTTAACATTCCTCCTGTGGTGTCTACTCTGAACTGCATTCTGTGGCATGCGTCTGCCCATCCATAGAGTTGCACATGCAATACAACTTACGTAGGTAATGTTAGCTGCAATGAAAATAATGCTGAGCTCTCCTCCTGACCTTAGTTGTTGGAGGTTCTTGTCTTTCAGCCTTTTGAAACAGAAATGCTTTACGTGGCCTTCTGTTTAAAGAGTCTTTCTCTTGGTTTGAGGAAGGCTGGCCTAAAGTATGCTACTGAGCATGTGCATTGCCCTGAAAAGTATCCTCAGGGCTGTTCCATTTTATCAGACAGAAGTATTACTTCAAGCTGAATTGGCAGAAATCAAACTGGTCCTGGGGTAAAAATCCCAAAGCTCAAGTTGGGACATGCAGTTGGTAACATTTCTCCCATGTCTTTTCTGTCTCTGCTAGTTCATTTGGGTAAGCTGAATTAATCTGCATTGTATGAGGAGGCATGTCACTGGCTTTGAGCTGGGAGAGTGCCTATTCCAAATAGCATATCTGAGTACCTTTCCTACCTCCAGCTCCCTTGTGGAGCAGAGCTGGAAACTGGTAGCCCCAGATAGCCAGTATTGGCTTCTCCCTTTTGGCAGTGAGTAGCATGTCTGGAAGAGGGCAGCCTGAATGTGTCCCAGCCAGAGCTAAGCTGGGGTGCCTCCTGCCAGCCCTTGTGGTAGTGAGACAGAGGGGAGCGTTTGTTCCTGATGACACGGTTCCCTGTATTTTTGCAGGAGTCTAACCAGCAAGCTGAGGTCCAGGAAGCTGAACTTCCCACACCAGATGTGTTTGTCGAGAAGCTCCCACCCAGCGGGAAGATCACTAAGACAGAGTCCCTTATTATCCCGTCCACCAGGTAGAGTGGTGACACAGCATTGTGCCTGCAGGTCTGCTTGGGAAGTCATGGACAGCTTGCTAGCATTTGTTCAGGATGGCCTTAAGCCATGACTGCAAGGAGACCCTCCTTGTGTTCAGGCACTTAAGTGATGTGTCTTGAGCACTTGATAAATGAGTGCTCAGAACCATGAAGGGCAGCATTGCTCTGAAGTTCCTCCTGTCTCCTCTGTTGTGCCTGCTCCACGTCCAAGGCAGTTTTTATAAAACTCTGGAGCTGTTTGCTCAAAGATACTTTGCTAAGTCAATGTCTGATGCAGATTTTTAGCCTTAAAGGTGGTTGTCAAGTCTAACATGTCCTGTTAAACCTTCCCAAATAGGGTAGTGAATGTGGGCTTCAGCAACCCCACCGTATAGTTTCTCCAGTCATTTGCAAGCAAATAGATGTTCTTTTGAAGAGGTATTTCTGTGCTGCTTTTGGGGGGTGTGACTATAGTTTGCGTGGCTGGATCCTATTATGCTTGTGTAGCAATAGCAGGGTGGTGGTGTGGGTCTTACTATGGGCTGTGGAAGTCTGCCTGGGACTCCTGGAAACATGCTTTGTACCTGAACTGTGTGCTCTGCACTGTCAGAAGCAGAATTGGCAGATCTCAAGCTAGTTCAGATCTACGTGCATGATTCCCCAATGCCTCCACTCACATTGTTGAGGTTGCCAGACTGGGTGATCTGGGATTTGGGGGATGTATGTCACTGAGATACGAGCCAGCTCTGGAATGCAAGCGCATCTCTCTAGCAGGTCTGAAGGGAAGCAGACGGGACGTCGGGGAAGGAGCACGTCTCTGAAGGAGAGACAGCCAGTGAGGCCACAGAACGAGAGAGCGAACAGTCTGGACAATGAACGCTCTCCAGACACCCGGCACCACTTACAGGTGTGAAAAAGATTGCTGTGTCTCCAGCCACTCATAGTTTTTCCTCTTCTCCAACTGTCTCCTGTGGTCCCTTTCCTTCTGGTCCAAGTGCCATCCCTGCTGGAAAGGAACTGGGTCCTGCGGCTTCAGGAAGGAGGGAATTTATGTCTTGGCTGATACTGTATCTTCCATCCAGTCTGCTGGGTTTTGCCAGCTTGTTTCTTTGTCAGGCCGCCATAAACTGAAAACACTGGAACAGATTGTTATGATGAGAAATGAATAGGGATGTGTTGAGGAATTACTCCTTTGAAATAAGGCAAATTGCTAGGGATTGCAAAAGACTTGTGCAGAGCATATGTGCCATGCTTTTGTTAGCTGCGGGACTCAGTTCCCTCCTTGAAGGAGACTGTTCCTGGCTTCTGTGCCAAAATTCCGTGGGCTACTGTTAATTAGTATAAAGTGATGTAAGTAAAAGTGCATGGCAGAAGGAGTAATCACCAAGAAACCCGAAGTGGCTAATACAGGAGCCTGCAGAATATTGGAGCCTGCAGAATACTGCAGTATTGAAGAAGCTGATTAAGTGTCAGTCCCAGCAGCCAGCGCAGCTGCTAGTATGCCTTTGCTGATGGGGTGACCGAGCACAGGCCAGCCATGCACAGCCACCTCTCACGAATTGCAAGAGCTGGAGCTGGTGACTTGACGATTAGAGCTGACATTTCCTACTGTTCTCTTCTCTGTGTCTTTATTTCCAGATCCCCAGGAAAACAGTGTATGACCAACTAAATCACATCCTGGTTTCCGATGACCAGCTGCCAGAAAACATTATTCTTGTCAATACTTCTGACTGGCAAGGCCAGGTAAAGGCAGGAGACGTTACCTGAAGCACAGTTCTCCTTCACTGTTCCTCCTCAGGAATGGACAGGCCTTGAGCTCTACCACTAACCAAGTAGGTTCTGCTGCTTGGTTGGAAGAGGAGTGGTGGTGCGTGGGGGCTGGCAGCATACTGAGTGTTCAGTGCCTACAGATTGGATTTCGTTTGACCAGGAGATACTGTGGATCTTGTAAAGCTTTGCCACCTGAGACTTTCCACAGAGGTTTTTTTCTCTTCTGCAAAATGCCATTCCTTCTGGTTAGCAGCGCGCTGGGAATGGCTAGACACTTGCACTCAAGAGCGTGCTTCTCAACTGTGGTAGACTGGGACAAAGGAAGCAAGGAGGACTGCCCTGTGGTTTAGGCTGAGACTTTTAGGCACAGGTGGTGAACACAGGAGAAAATATTTCAGGTCAGCTGTGTTGCCTTGCATACATGCTTGTGATTCCTGACTTCAGGCATGTCACTCCATCTTTTTTGAGTGAGTGATAGTGGTGTTAAGGACAACCTTGAGCAGTGCTTTCTTGTGCTGGCAACGTGGGGTGGTTTGTTATGGGTTTGGAACACATTTTGCTCTTTTCGGAACCTCAGTCTGAGAAAGCAGTAAAATAAATATGGAAGAGGAGCAGTAAACATGCGCTGGGTGACAGTCGCCAGTAGAACTTCTGCCACGCTTGTGGAGTTATATTGTCTAGTTTGGCTTTCCGTTTCTAGAAGAACTAGGGTCTCAATGTCTGAGAGCAAAAATACCAGCTGAGATACTGTTTCCCGTTTCTCTATACTTGGAAGGTAGAGAAATGCCTTCCAGAGATGGACAGAAGGCGTTATAGGTCGTCTTCCTGTAGTCTTAGCAGCTTGTGCCTGCAGTATCAGAGGGCATGAAGATAGCATTGGCTTGGGTGTATAGATTAGTGGTGCAGCATTTGAAAATGTGAGATAACTGCTGAGTCTCATCAATATTACGTCTGTGTATACCCAAGGTGTGTGTTAACTTGTTTCCCATTAGCCGCATGGAGGGGAACATGAGGAACATGTGTGTTGGTAACACCCTTCCCTTTTTTAGTGCTTGAGGGTGGGCAGAATATGGCATTTAAGTCCTTTTGAAATCAGAGAGAGATGTAACTGCAGTTCCAGAAGCAGGTGAGTAGACAGCATCTGCGCTTACCTAGTGCTGTCTGCTAGGCGAATGGCTTCCTGCTGCTCTGCTCTCTGCAGCCATAAAAACCCTGCTGTTCTAGAGTTGTTGTTGCAGTGTTTTGGATATACTGTTGGTGTTTGTCAAGAAGGTGCAGTGTTTCCATTTTTCTAGAGGAAGAGCTTTCCTTTGGTTGATGCACAAGGACGAGGTATTTGGGAAATAGCCGTATCACAAATTGGACCTGGGGAGAGTGCCCATGCTTGGGTGTGAGAATACCTAGGAGGCTGGGGGAAGCAGATTTTCTTCTTGTGACAAACTGTACCAAAAAAAGGACTATAAAATGTTCTGTTCTCTCCTCAGTACCTATCAGATGTCTTGCAAAAGCATACCTTGCCAGTGGTCTGCACATGCTCCTCAGCTGATATTCAGGCAGCTTTCAGCACTATTGTCTCCAGGATACAGAGATAGTAAGTTCTCACCTTGCTTGTGTTGTTTGTTGCATCTCCGCTCTAAAAGCCTCTCAGCTCCTGTGCCCCAGTGCCCAGGGAGTTTTTCATCCAATAGCTGAGAAATACCTCTCCCTTCCAATACTTCTCCCCAGTCTACTCTCCTGAAGTCAGTTGTGTGGCTCTTCAGCATTTTCCAGCCCTGCAAAGTTGTTGCTGTTCTGCCATGTGTGTGAGGATACAAGTCTCCTTTCATCGACACCAGTGATTTTAAAAGATTGTGCTTTGGAGGCTGCCTCATAGGTCAGATCTAATAACCAGTAAAACATGCAAAGCTCATAGGTAGGTTTTTAAATAGTTCTTGCTGCCCCCCCCCCCAGTAATTCCCAGACCAATTCCTCAAGGCATTCCCTAGATACCTACTGAGGGCTGTGGGTACCTGAATATGTCCTCTGACACAGCAGTTAGTTGCAATAGGTACATCTTAACCTAGATAGTTGAGTCTAGCCCTTTAGATTATCAAAATGTGTGAAAGAAGGAGCAAGGAGACCAATTAAGAAAGTACTGAACAATGTTGCATTTTATTAATAATGTTTTAAGCTGCTGATAATTATTGCGATATTGCCTTGTGTATTGAACGAGCTCTCTTCTGCCATGGTTGTTATTAACCAATTCTTTTTTTTTTACTTGTTCTGAAATAGCTGGTTGGAAGCACAATTATGAATATATTTCCTCTTTTTCTGTCTAGCTGTAACTGCAATTCACAGCCTCCAAACCCAATTAAAATTGCAGTGGCCGGAGCCCAGAATTACCTCAGTGCTGTATTGAGGCTCTTTGTAGAGCAGCTGTCTCACAAAACCCCAGACTGGCTCGGCTACATGAGATTTTTGATCATCCCTCTAGGTAAATAAGGAATGATTTTTCTTCATAGAAAGGTGAATGGGTTAAATGTGATGTGTTCCCTCAGTAGAAGCCCTCCTGGAAGCTTTGGCTAGGCACATGGCTGTTAAATGAGGCAAACGTCATGCTGTCATAGTGTTGTGTAATTGCTTGTGTTGCTGCTCTTGTGTGAGTGAATTTCATCTTTACGTTCTTGATGCCAAAGTCTGCTTGTAAACCTTTTGTTTGAGGGGTTGAGTACTTCCTCCCCATACAGTGAAGCTCTTGTATATCTTTTTATCATGGTACAATGAATACATAGAATAATGTTCTGGAAGCCCTTTCCCTGGCTGAAATCTTAAATTCATTGGGCACCATGTTTCCCAAACCAATAACTGTTCTGGCCTCCCTGAGGCTGACACAGAAAATGTTGGGGGCGGGGGAGGGGGTGTTGAAAATTTTTTAAAGGCTCTGAAACTGCTGAGAGTTTAAGTTATTCAAATTACATGTATGTTTTGACCTTTCCTTTACGTGCTGTTCTCCTCAGGTTTTTTCCTCAGTTTTCGAGCACTTTATCCGTGCCCTTCCAGCAGCTCAACAAGCCTGCCTGGCTGGAAAGTTACCCAGCTTGGATCACTTGTGTTGGGGGAAGTAGAGTGGACTGATAATAATGTTAGGGGTCTTGCTGTAGTCAGAAATGTGAGGAATGTTGTAGCGGTGAGTCCTGGGAGGTCAGGCGGTTACTGGTGCTTGTGGGCAGTGGGGGCATCTGGGCAATGCTGGTGGTGTAAGGGTGTGATGCTAAAAGCTGGTCTAGTCCAAGGCTTGGTTTGTGTGAGCAGGGCACTTAGGTGATGTCAGCAACAGAAAACTTGAAAAGCACTTTTTCTCGGTATTTTCTGGTCTTCTAGGTTTGGGACCAGCTGACAGTAGTTGCTGTAGGAGTCAGAAGCTGCTGCCCGGCACCATGAACAGTGGGGTTAGGCTGTCAATTCAGTGGTGGGATTTGCAGAAGTCAAACGAAAAAGGCAGAGGAAGAGAGCTGGATCCTTCTGTAAGGAAGGCATTTAGTTTTCAAGGGGTTGGGAGGAAGAAGAGAGAGCGCCCTTGAGGGGGTAAAAACAAAAATATTATTTCCACAAGATTAAATGCACTTCGAATGAGAGTCTCTATGACTTAGGACTTTGGTCCTCACATGCTGACTGTCTCCTGGCCTCAGAAGAAGAGTTTTCTGTCCTGCAGTCTTCAATGATCTGAAAATATTCTCTCTTTGAAAGTAAAACACAAGATGTAGCTAGTGTGGTTTTGGGTTGTTTTTTTAATCTTAAAGCTTTCTTTGGTAATTTAAAAAAAAAAAAAAAAAGCACTTTAATAATGGAACTGCCTCAGAACTGTGAATGCTTTTTAAATGTACTTTAAATATAGAAACTTCTCTAACAGGGCCTTTCCCATGGAAGTCTGCAGTATTTCCTGATTGGATCAAGTGCTTGTTTCTGGCCAGCTTTCTGGCAATTCATTAAAGTGATGGAGGAGCAACCTCTTTTCAGACAATTGAAAAAGCACCAAAGACAGAATGGTGATCATGCCATAAATGTCTTAAAGGAAAAGACTTTCTGCTGTTAGCACCTTTGAAGTAAGAACGGTAGAGTCTTTTTCTAAGATGGTTTTACATCCTTAGTCCACAACCACGTGCTGCGATGACAGAAGAGTCACCCTACAGTGGTTTGTTAACAATGAGAAATGCTTAGTGTTTGTAAGCATCCATACTGGGATATTTGGTCCTGCTTCATGCTCTGATTCTGTGGCTGAAAGACTCCTTTGATGTCCAAACCAGTGTATAAACAACTGAAAAGGGGGAAATAAAATAGAAAAAAAGGTTGGGGGTTGTTTTGGTTGTTTGGGGTTTTTTAGCATTTTATGTAGCTCCCATGGATAGAACTTCTTGGGAGACCTCATGTTTAGTACTTGTTTCCAACTGCATCTGCCATGTGCGATGTGTTTTCCCAGCATGTGGGAACGCTTCTCTAGTGCATGGTGCAGAGCTGTTCCATGTGCACCGTTTTCAAAACTACACTGCAAAAGAAATGATGGGTCTGAAAGTAGCCATGATCAGGAGGGTCCAGGAAAGAACTTAGGCCCCAGTCTCTAATGACACCGAGGGGAGCACAGAGGGACCTTCTGCTTGAACCTTTCCTTGAAGTCTGGAAATTAGCACTGGTTTGGAGGACAGAAAAGACAGTGGTTTTTTTCCACCATGAGCTTTACTAGAGGATGGTGAGTATTGTTAAGCAGCTGGGGTCTTCTTGGAAGGAGTTGTCAGGTTACTGGTTACCAGCTGATGACTCAACTCTTGCAGTCTCTGGAAACGTGGCTTGATATGAGAATTCGGTATTCAGGAAGGATGAAAATAAGCTGATTAGGAGGAACTCTGAGACCACTTCATGGCTGATTGTAAATGTACAGGACTCATGCTAAGCATGACTGAAATGTGGTGACTGGAAAGTGCAATCCTGGCACACCTTTTCTCCTGTGTTGTAAGACTGGAGAGGTAGTTGCAAGAGCAGGTTGTCTGGTTTGGGGACATGTGGCCTAAAATGAAGGTGGCAAATTTTTACCACCTCCCAGGGCAGAGGTTGTCACTTAAATGCCTTCCCTCGCTTGCTCAGTATAAGTATGAAGTCAGATCTCCATCCAGGGCTGCAAGCTGGAGGCTGGACACGCAAACTTTCTACAAGGAGGTCTTTCCATGTTCATAGAGAAGCCATAAGGCTCAGCTAGAGCAAGCAGGGACCTGATGCATATGCCAGCATTCACTGGGGACTGTAATCCTTGGACTCTGCCTTCTGTTTTTAATTACAGTCTATTTATTGAACTTACAGCCCTTCTCCACCGATTAAACAAGCCTCCCTGGGTTGTTTTTCCTGGTTGGGGACAATTGCCTCTTCTCAGTATTGTAAACCAGCCATGGTGTGTGAATGGTGTTTGGAGGAAGGGGTCTGACTCCTCTTGGCAGAGGTGACCTGGCTGTGGTGTGTGCAGTGCAGCCTCTGGGCAGGAAGGGTTGCTGGGAAAGCTGCTTGTAAAACTGAGAGACTGAGACTGAGATGGAGAGCCGTAGGGCCTCTGTGTCTTCCAAATAATTTATTTCCTCAGCAGTTTCCCAGTCCTGTTTTCTTTGGCCTTTTAAAATTTAATTTGGGATGGGGGGGAGGAGGAGGCATCACTGAAAGGTATCAGTGGTGTTGAAGCAGTCTCTCTGCTGGGAAGGCTATTTGCATGCTCTTGTAGAGATAAGCTGGACTAAATTACTTGGTTATAATTTAAGAAATTTATTTTTGGGGTGTCTAGTGTAGTTTTGATTTTTGGAATTCAATTCCTTACAGATAAAAACCACATTTGTATTCAGTGCCGGGAAGAACAACTGTCATGTTTTCCTTTCTTTCTTAGGCTCTCATCCAGTGGCCAAGTATCTGGGGTCTGTAGATTATAGATACAACAACTTCTTCCAAGATCTAGCCTGGAGAGATCTGTTCAACAAACTTGAAGCACAGACCACTGGTAAGACCATGTGTCTGTGTCTGGCCTGTGTGGGATAAAAGGCTTGAATGAGTAATTTTAGCAAAGGTCAAGTAAATACAAGAGGAAGCAGACAGATGTTTTTGTTCCTCTTTTCTCCTCACTCCATCACATTCCCTTTTCAGATACTGACCTTTGTATGTCTTCCACGTGGTGGTTTGCAAACAGTTGTTGGCTCCCAGAGGCAGTAGCTGCCTCTTAAGTCATGCTGTTTTTACCTAGCTCTCAGCTTTGTTCTTTGATGTGGAGGTCTCACTACCAAGTTTAGTACATTGCTTTCTTTGGGCCTTCAGAAAATGTCCAGCCTAAAAAATTTGGAAAACTGGAAACTGTGGGAAGATTAACTTCTGTTAATTGTGTGTGAGAATGACCTTGATGTTTCTGAAGTCTGCTGGCAGGATCTTTCTCATTAAAAAAGAATTTTGTTCTTCACCAGTGTTGTAATATGTGGGAGCTGCTCTAGGTCAGACCAACAAAGTTCTGTTCTGATCTGAGTCTGGTCTAGGCCAGGATAAAGCCTTACCGTGTGTTAAAGTACTAATTTGCTTAAAATATTAATGCTTACAGTTTTTTCCATCCGTTCCTTCAAGAATGGAAAGAAACAGGAGAAAGGAGGATTTGCATCTGACATTTAGAGCTACATAAAGGCCTGAGACTTGACTGAGGAGTGATGCTCTCATGGCAGTGTATCCCATACAGAAATTTCACTAGAAGGAGAAAGCTTTGGAGTTTTTGGAGCGCCATGAGGGTGGGGAGGTTGCAGCGTGGTTCTCCGTTGCAGAGTGTCTGAGCATGCTCCTGGAAGTCCTCTAGCTGTGAGAGGAGGAGAGGGAGACCTCTTCGCAGGTGTTTGTTCGGAGTCTTTTCCAGCAGATGGGAACTTGGCTGGACAAGACCTTGTGCAGTTTGTTCTGAAGGTGAAGTTAGCCCTGCTTGGAGCAGGAGGCTGGACTAGAGATCTCCTAGTGTGCCACCCAACCTACAGTCTTCCTTGATTCTAAGCTCATGGAAGAACAGATGTCTGGAGCTGGTTTCTTTTAATTCCTTGCTGCACTTGAAAATGCAGACAAATGTCAATACAGAGTTCATTTCTGTGTCTGGGTTAGGAATACTTTATTAGCTATAGAAATCCAGGTCGAGAGCCATATCTGTTCTTTAGTTGGTTACATGCTGCAGTGCTTGCTTATTTGGCTGCATGCTGTGAGGAAAACGCAGCCTCATTTTTGTGCAGTCCAGACCTTGCAGTTTCTCCATTTTCATCTGTGCAGTGAGAACTGCACAGAAACCCCGTGATGGCATAAGAAGATCTGGCAAAGAATCATAGCTCTTCACAGTTCACTGTTCAAATACAAAGAGTCTGGGTTAAAATGCCCATTAAGGTATGGAAGAGCCTGGTGAAGGTCACTTGCGTTCCCTTGATGTCACAGTTGAGGCTCTTCGCTTGAAACCAAAGGAATGTGGAAGGCATTTAGGAAATGTCTTCTTGTCAACTTGAATCAAACACAGTCTCACAGATCTGAAGCATACTTGCTGCTACACACATGATCTTTGTGCTCTTCCTACTCTTGTGTGGCTCTTGGTCTTTTCAGTTAACTCAGCAAGGCTGTGAGTTCATTAGGAAATCAGGTAAGTCAGTGCTGGTGTGAGCAGAGCAGCTCGCCAAGGCCCTGGGAGAGGAGAGATGGCTAGGCACTTTCTTCAGCAGATACCTACAGCTGAGGTGCGAAAAAGTCTAAAGCTGACTCTGGGGAGGTACACATTTTCAAACAAAAGCATTTTAACAAATATAAAATAACCATAATACTTCAGTCAATAATGCTGTGTACAGATGTCTGGGTATCTAGTGTGGCTTCCTAATGTTTTTACTTTGGTGCTCTTGTAGGATGTTTGCTTTTGGTCAGACAGCTTTACAGTGCTCTGGGGTAGACTGCAGAGCTTCCTTTGGAAGATGCAGTTCAAATGCAGCTGGCTGGGTACCATCAGCTGCTTGGCTGAGCAAATGGAGGACAGTGCTGGTGATGATCTAAGAAGTCACTTAAATGATTTTTTTCTCTTTGTTCTGTTGCAGTTCCAGAAACACCTGATGTTGTCTCCCGGATAACGCAGTATATAGCAGGGGCAAACTGTGCACACCAGTTGCCCATTGCTGAAGCAATGCTGACATACAAGCAGAAAAGGTATGTCACTAATGTAATACTGACTTTCCAGAGTGAGCATCAGGTTGAAAGCAAAGCACTTTTCTCATCTCGTGTGCCAGCAGTTTTAAAATCACTCCAAATTGCAAACACCTTGGGAGCCTTATGGTAGCCTGTAGCCAGTGATGTGTCCCACTTAGATAACAGTGAATCTACAACAGTGTGGTTACTTTAGATGCAGTGATTTCTTTGAAGATCTGAGAGGCTTGGGGAAGTCGGGACTAGGCAGGATGGGAGATGGACAGATTATATCTGCTTAGGTTCTGGAGATCTCTCACCACAGAGACCTTGGGTAAGACTGGACTGTGGCATTCCCCCCGAAGTATCTTCCGTGAGACCTGGCCTTTTTACATTGGTGTTGAGGGAACTGAAACCCTTTCTTTTTGGAGTGTAAATAGCAGAGCTTCTCAAAGGAGAGACAAAATCCTTGTTGATTGGCAGCTGCAGCCTACCAGGACTCCTACTGAGGAGGGCTGACATTCACCAGGTTTTATTTCAACTTCTCTTAAGGGATAAACAGCCTTTAGGAGAGAGGGTTGAGGTCCGAAAACAAAATTCGGAAGTATGTAGAGCCTCATGTGGCTGTGGTCCAGGAAGAAGAGTAACTGTCACTGAAGGGTAGAGATGCATTGTTTCTGAGGCACAGAGGAGAATAATAGACTCTTAACTCACATCCCAGTAATTTCCAAGAGCAGGAGAAACACTCAGCTCGTGTGATTTTTCTCGATTAGGGACTAGCAATCTCTTATGAGGCATGGATGATGTTAATTGTTAATTACTACCCTTCCCATGTTATATCTGATCTTTCATTTTTGGTCCATTAACATCCCTCATTGGTGCCTCCTTTGCATAAGAACTGGGAGGGATTAAAGATGTGGGCAGAGTAACTTTTTTCCCTTCTTTTTGGAAATGCTCATTGTGTATTGCTTTTCCATTCCTGTGTCTGCTCTACATTACTTTGCAGAAATGGATTCAGTAAAATTTAGCACATTCTTCAGGCTCTCCTAGGGCAAATATTTCCAGACTGACTAGTCCATTAAAAAGTGTGCACTCTTTTCACGTATTTGTGAACTTCTGTAATGTTAACCTGATAAAGGTGAAGTTTGGAGAGCCACAGGGTACTCTAAGATCTTAGCTTCAATCTTTTATTTTGTTTTTGTTGTGCAGACTTACCTTAGTTACCAATTTGGAGTTCAGACAACCCCTAGCGCAGTGTGAACCCCTTCTGATGGCTGCATTGTTTTTTCTCTGCACCCTTCAGTTGCTGGGTTCTGCACTGGTCTCCACTGCCTTCTCCATTCTGTTACAGGTTCATTTTTGTCATTAACACACATTTAATCATTTTGAGTTTCTAATGTGCCCAGAAAGGTCAATTTGGTACTTCATTTTAAGACATCTGAAATGTACTTCAGCAACACATGCACTTAGCCCTCCCAGCGCTGTGCATGACCAACATTTACAAAGCTGGTCTGATCCATTTGGATTTTAAACCCTTTGGACTTGGTGGTGCCATGCCTGAAGCTGTTGATAGGTTTAAATCAGGCTCAAACCCTGCAGAAAGTTACTTGGAAGAAAGATTGCTGAGACTTTTAGTCAGATTGTGGCATAGACTGCAGTCTTTTAGTATCTCTGTTGTGCCTGCTTTAAAATAACTTCTACTTTCAGCTAAGTACCCCATGAGCAAACTGGAGAGTGAGTTAGGGGAACAAGCTCTCCTATGGAGCGATGGGCAGTTACCTCCCCGTGTGGCTTTCTTTAGAAATGCAGCTCTCTGTCATTGGCAGCAACTTAGGGAGGGTATTGTGAAAAACAACACAGAAATTGTGTTTCCATTAGCACTATCTAAATAAATGCATCACTTTGTTGTAAGTATAATAACATATTTATCTTCTTCTTTGGTTGCTTTCTGAAAAGGAAAAAGAGCTTTCATTTTGATTTTACCATAAGGTATCAGTTCCTTTTAGGTTCCCTCTCCCATCTCCTATCTCTTTTCCCACATGAACTGGTCTTCTGTGCCTTGTTTAACAGTTTGTGCAGGTCTGGGATGCACAGTTTGTGCTTTAGGTTAAATTCTGCTCGCTGCTTTGAAACTATGGCATCTGCTGGCAGAACGCATTGTTGAAAATGGCTGCTCTGCCTTTGGACCACACATACGGGTTTCCAGGATGTAGACTGAATCAGAATGAAAGGATTATTGAGGGAGTAGCTTTGAGCAGTAAACCACGGAGAAGGTAGGGTTTTTTTCTTCCCTTCTTCCTAGCCATCAGAGGATATAGTGTAGCTCCAAAAGGATCGGGACTGAGCAAAGGCTTTTCAGTTCCCATCTGTTTGAACTGGAGTGCTGTAGGTGGCACTCAGTGGCTCAGGGTGGAGTTCAGCTGTGCAGTGTCCGAGTGCAGACCAGCAAATCTTTTCCCTGTAATCAGAAAACTGAGGACTAGTCTCATACTGGCAGGCTATCCCAAACGTGTGGGACTTCTCTGAGCTTAAGAAAGAGGAGACACATGTATGCTGGCAGTCGAGTTGTGTTCTCTGAGCTGCCTCCAAGACCCCCTTGCTCTGTAGGGTCCCCTGCTTTGAATCATACGATTATTGGACATTGTTTATTTTGTCCTCAGTTCACAAAGTTACTGCAGCTCCCTCTCCCTCAAGGCCAGAGGTGAATGGCTTCTCCAAGGCCAGCTTTCAAGGCAGTGGTCCATGTAGAAACAGCAGCGCTATGTACAGATTCATTGCAAGACAAATCGTCTCCCAGTATCCTAGCATTTGCTCTGTTAAACAAGCCCTAGTGGTCCAAGGAAAGCCAAGCCAGTCTTTAGGACATAGCTGTATGTGATGAGCTGCTTTATGACTTTATTGCCAGCTATCCCTATTCTGGTTTAGCTCTGCTGTCCTTCCTGTCCCCTTGTTCTGTTTGTCATGGCGAAAGGTTGGCGCATGTACTGCCTGTGATGGACTGCAATGGTGCGAAAGCTTTGTCCCATTCTTTTGGAGCATCTGCTGACCTTACCTGAAATCAAGGGGGCTCACAGTGAGGAAGGTGTTCAGGAAGGAAATGAGTTGCCATTTCAGCTCCTCTGCGTTACACTGGGTGACTGACTTTGTGAGCACTGGGAGAATTACTGGTTACTGAATTGTCAAGAAACACTGCAGTCCAGGCAACATCTGGGGAGCTGAGACTATGGTGGCAGAGGTGGGCCTCTCACTAGGAGGGGTGTATCATTGACATTGATATCTCTCTGCATTACTTTCTTGAATGAAACCCTGCAGTATTTGAGATCTGAGACTCAAAAGACACTCATTCCCAGTGTAGCTGGATTGCTGATCAGTTCTGTGAACCTGGGCTGGTGTCACCCACTGTAATTCAGTGTCCAGCACAGCTCATGCCATGTGGCTTCTGGATAGCCCTTGCACGAATCTGGGGAGCAGCTTGGCTGTTGGAAATAAAAGCATTGCTTGCTTGTCAGGGCAAGGGCTGGGTCATTTTCTACCTAGTTACACATTTACCAAAAGCTCTTCACTCTTGTGTTGTAGAGCACTTTCCCAACTCTTGCTCCCTGTGCAGCACAAGTGCCTTGGGTGGAGGGTTCCTGGGTGATAGGAAGCAGGGGTAACACTGTTTTCTGCTTGCTGCGTGTCTCTGAGACTCTGCAGGGCAGTGGCTAGGCAGAGTCCAGGTCATGTGTCTCAGTGCTGCTTCTAAAACACACCCTGCAGCGGTTGCTGAACATGAACACAACTGGTGAAGATGGACCCGGTCCCTCCTCTGGCTCAGCAGTGTCCATGTCATCTGGCTGGTTGCTGCATGAACCTCCTTGGGCAACTGGTGGAAATGTAACAGGAGTTTACTTGTGCCACTTGCCTGGCAGAGCAGTGCAGCAGAGGAGAGTCAAAGCTCAAGAAATGCTGGATGTCCTGTTGAGTATGTCCAGCCCACTGTAGGAACATGAAGGGTGCCGGACAGGAGTTTCATGGGGAAGCAGAGAGGTGACTCATCTGATGTGTTGTGGGGACCTGGAGTTACTTTGTCCCTTTGGTTTGACCACTGGAGACTTGGTGGAACAGGGACGGTGTTGGCCAGCAGACAGCTACAGTTGCTCAGTGGAAAGGACAGATGCTTCATACCAAAGATGAACCTTGGGGAGTCGTTGGGAGTGCCTGACCTGAAATGGCTTAGAGGCCTGCTAGTCCTTCGGTGATAAAAGTCCCCTCTTTCCTGTTGCCCCGTTGCAGGACTTGCCTGGAATAAAGGTAGTACCTGAGACTCTCCTGCTAGGAAATCACATGTGTTTGGCTTCATTTGAATCTGTTTTGGGTTGCTTAAATTATAAATGAAATCTTACTAAAAGGCTAAGTACTTTGCCCCGGAAGTGAGAGAGATTATTCCTTCCCTTTGTCAGGTGGGTGACTCCTGGTGATGTGGCTGCTTCTCCTTTCTAAGAGTCCTAAAACATATAAATCTGGCTCTGTGTCTTTGTTCAATCTGGATTAATTTCTTGGGGTACGGACGGAGTCTGAAAGTCCCTTTCTGGACAACCTTTGAAGGACTGATTGCAGGTGGATGGATTTTGCCCAAGCAAAAATAGTAATTAGACAACTCCCCATTCTGGATAGAGTTTTTTTTCCTAGCCTCTCTGCATAGATCTGTTTTTTGTTTTTCCCCAGAATTGCAGAAGTGAAGTGTCAATAACAATGTTAAAAATCACAAACCAGGGTCAGGTCTGGCTTTAAATTATAGCTGAGATACCAGAGCCTTCAGACGCCTTATGGATAAAACCAATACCTTGGACATCACTATGGAGGTAAAACCTCTGCAGCCTGGGAATCTGTGCAGCCTGCATAATATGGGGGAGCTGCCTTTCCAGAGATGGGACGTTTTAGTTGCAGGGCTGTGGTAGGAGGAATAGAAGAGACCATTACCAAGGCGAAAGGATTCTGGATTAATATCTTGGGATCCCAATGGACAAGAACAGGACAAGAATCAGGAAAGAGCGTGAAAGAGGAAGTGGAGAACAAGCACGGTCATCTCTCCTTTCATCCACATGAAGAGCAGCTGTTTCGATAAGCTGCATTTTCAGAGGCACATGTGCAAGATCAGAGTTCCCAAGAGGACGTGTGACAGGACTAGACTAGTCGAGATGAAATCCAGCTCGATTGCTTCAGGAACAGTCTGTGCATCATTGTGAGCTGTGATAAATGGTGACTGAAGCAAATGATTTGTTTCAAAATTGCCCCTGAGCTCTTCTCAGTTGGAGTCTGAGGTCTCAGGGGGAACAAGAATGAGTTTTCTGCTGGAATTGGGCATGGTTTGTTTTTTGAGAGCTCAGAGCAAAGCCATCCAGTAGCTGAGAGATGACTAGGCAGCTATTGTGCTTCCCTCACTTGGTCAGTGGGACTCGCTTCTGTCTGCTGCTCAGCCTGTGGAGCTGAAGAAATGAGAAGAAAGCTGAGCCTCTGTTCTGTGCTTCTCCCAACAGCTGTGTGGGTTTCTTGTTTCCCTTTGCAAAACTGGAGCTGGAAATTTTGTTTTTGTAGGAGATTTATTTGCCGGGGAGCCTGCAGCCATGTTTGGAAAGATGTGACCTTTCTGTCTTCCAACACAGAATCAGGGACTTGGTCATTTTGTCATGTGCTTTGGGGGAAGAATGAAGGTGCAGTGCCTGGGGTTGTGAAATAGGAAGGGAGCAAAGCCCCTGGCTTTGCCTTAGAGCTGGGTAAGCAAAGCTGAGCCAAAGCAAGAGGCTATTTGCAAAAGCACACTCTGCTTTGAGGGAGCTCTGGCTGAGTCATGTTCGCTGCAGTTCTATGCCATTCTTTCCATAGGGCTTAGAAGAAACTGTCCAGCCCGTGCTAATCATACAGTGGTTGGCAACCTTTGTGCATTTGGTGCATTTCCAATCTGTGCTGGAAACAGCACAGAAATACCTGCTTTCCTGAAGTATTTGTGCTGCACCCAGCAATATTCTGGATGAAGGCGATGCTGGATGTTTTTTCTCTGAATGTTGCAGTGCTTTGTGCACTGAGGGATGCACAAAAAGAGAAACATGAGAAATCTCGGTGTTTGTCTGCTTCCTACCTGTTTTCTGTGCTTGCCCACTGAGAAGTGTTGTATGCTTGCCTGTGCAGTCACTTCCACTGCTGAACTATAATTCCTCCGAACACGTGGACATGCTTCTGCAGTTCTCTCCTCACCCTGTGGGTCCATCTTCATCTTTCTTGCTCTTGAAGGGGAGCAGTGGCTCTGCAGGCCCTCCCAGCCTGCTTTCCTCCTCACTCAAGTCTTCCCCCTCTTTCTGCTGGGTTTGATTGTGGCCTTTGTTGCTGGCTCTTCTCCACCCTCTGGCTTCTGAATCCTGGGCAGGGCCAGAGCAGGAGGGACTGATGCCTTCCTGCTTTCAAAATGTGTGTAGTGTTGTCTTCAGCTGTTTCTGGGACGTGGTGTGCGTTTTGTTCGGTTTAGTTCAGCTGTTTGCTGTTCTCAAGTTGGTGTCCAGATCTACCCAGTGTACCCAACCTCTCTAGTGTGCCTGTCTAAGGACTGCAAGCTCCCAGTGGCAAGGAACGTGTATCAGTGTGCGTGAGTGAGAGTGTGTATGTGTGTACTTGCTAGTGCTATACAAATAACCACGTGTCACGGCTTGTAACCCCGTGGCAGGCTAACTGCTTTAGCGATGCTGGGATATGCAAGGTATGGCACATGACTCCAAAGGTGGGACACGTGAAGGCCATGTGTGCAGAGCGCTTCAGGGACTAGTAAGTAATGCACAGTTCTCCATGTTGTTGTGGCACAGATCCATTTCCTTGCAGTAGGAGGTTGTGTGTCTGTAATGACTGCCATGCCATTAAAGCATGTTCTCTCTGTAAAGCGTGAGGGAGGGAGGAAGAGACCTTTCCCCCGAGAGATGCGCCGTAAGCTGCGTGCTCTTCCCCACCCATGCAGATTCTTAGCGTGCTGGCAGGGGGCCTTGAGAGGAGACATTGGACTGGCGCTTGCATACTGTCCGTTCCTGCTGCATGCTTGAATGCAACATATAAAGTGAGTATTGTGCCCGGTGTGGAAGCAAGCTGTTAACAACTCTTTTCTCTTTGCCTTTAGCCCTGATGAAGAATCTTCGCAGAAGTTCATTCCCTTTGTCGGGGTGAGTGTTACCTTAGTTACGCTGCCTTAAGCCAGCTAGAATATGTCCACAAGTGTTAATCTGAACTTACCTGGTAGAGCAGGAGCACTGTGTGCTCTAAGGTAGGGTGTCAGCATGAGCATCTGATGGTTGGATGCAACTGCCTGGTATGTAAGCAAACTTCTAAGATCCCTCAACAAACTACAGGGTGTATTTTACTTTGCAGGCAGCTGGCTCTGGGCAGCTCTGTGCTGCATGCCTGCCAGCACTGAAGCAGGCACCATAGCCTTGCTATTGCCTTGTTCATTCAACACAGAGAGGAAAGTGTGACACTGAAGTGCTCTGATCCACAGCCTGTCTTTGCTGCAGACCAAAGCACCTAACTGGTGGAGAATTGCCTCTGGGCCATGTGCAGAGGAAGGTGGTGTGTTCCTGGAAACCTGATCTCAGGGTTGCTGTGCCCAGCATTGCCCTGGGTGGTTGATTTGGCCAAATTTGCTATTCCAGAGTCAGCCTTCCGTGTGCTTGTCATGGAACGGTCTCCAGTCCTCTTAATATCCCATCCACTCGTGGGAAGTGAAGAGCACATCCCACCAGGGAGATCATTTATACCACTGTTAAGTTTGAGTCTGGGGCAGTAGCTATTTAATACATTTTATTATGTGAATCTGTATTTGGGATAATAGTCCCTGGCTTTTCCTCCTGTCCGTAACTTTAAATGTTCCCAGCTCAAGTGGCCAAGTGCAGAGTATCTAGGCAGGGGTGTGTTTGTGCTTCTGTCAGTATATTTTGTGCACTATGTACTTTACCTTTTCTAGCTTCCCTCCCCTTATTTGATCATGCTTTTCAATTCATTAAGTTTTAGGTATAAGGTCATTGACCTGCAACCAAAAGGATATCCCCTGACTGCTCTTCAGCTACTGGATGTCCTCTTCACAGTTTTTGCTGCTCTCTTGTATCTTCTCTTTCTTGCATGCTGGCTGTCTTGTTCTGCCTTCTCTGTGTTAAGCTGACTTGTGTGCATTCCCGTTTCTATCCCTGTCAGTGCGTCAGAGCTAATCTGAAATCCCAAGGCGTTTAAAGAGCTTAGTCTCTCTTGCCCTCAGGCTGACACTGCTTTCACTCTGGCGTCTCTTCGGAGTGAGAGTCTCTCTCTGCAGTGTTCCTGAGATGACAATCTACTTTTGTTTGTTGAAGGAAAGATGTCTTCCGCAAAGGCGGAGAGACACATCTTCCCAATTTGTTCCCTGCTGATGAGCTTTGCTGTGATCTTGTCCCTCCTATGAGCTGTGATTTGTGGTGAAGAACTGTTGTTATGAAACAGCTGTTTCACCTTTCCCAATAACATGAAAAGCCCAGAAGCTCTTGGAAGCTCCTGGACTTGTCTCACTATCGCTGCTAGGCTCTGCAAAGCTTTTCCTTGGGGCTGATTTAGTTCAGTGCTGTGTGCAAGTAAACGGGGCTCAGAATGTTTGCCCAGTGGCTCTAAAACAACCCTTGTCCTGACATTAGCAATACGTTTCCAGTCTGGATTTGATTGTCTGAAAGCAGGAAGAGCAAACAGCTCTGTCGTGTGCATAACACAGCCAACCCCCCAAAAAACTTGCCTTGAAAGCACAGACTGACTTCCTATGTCGGCTGGAGTAAGGGTCAAATCAATGCTGCTTATTCTTGCTTCTAAAGTGTTCCTGTCACAGTAATTCCCCATGAGACACATCTGAAGAGACTCTGAAAGGCCTGTTGCAGGTGTCTCACAAAGTCTGAGGCTGAATATGACCACCAAAATATGAACACCAAAGCTTTTTCCCTCAGTTGCAGCCTGCTTGGAGCTGTTGGCCAAGGAAGAGAGGGAGCCAACAATATTTGGGTTTGCGACTCCTGACGTTGGCTGGACTGTGTTGGCTTTTAGGGTGCAAAAACTGATGTCCTCCAGCTGGATTGCACAGTCTTTGACCCAGAAGCGAGCAGGGCAGTGCTGTGCTGCTCAGCCAGGCTCTGAAGTGGTGGGAGTGGAGCTTCACAAGGGGCCAGTTGGGCTCAAAAGCCAGGGTCAGATGGTGAGGCTGCATGGTTGTACGCCTGCATTGTGCCGACAGCCAGTTGCCAGGAGAGTTAACAGGGTGCGCCTCCTTCCTGAAGGGAAAGGAGTCTGGCTGCTGCAGCATTCCTGGATGGAGACGTTGTTGGGACTGCAGCAGTCTCAAGCGCCTCCCTGAGTGGAGGGAAGGGAAAGTGTTTAACCTTGTCTTCTTCCCATGTGTCTGAACTCTAGCATCTTCAGTCAGCCAGCAAGGGGGAAAAGGCCAGAAGAAATTTCCTGTCTGGCTTGCAGATCAAGGTGGCTGTAGGCAGTTTTCTGTGTTGCTTGTTCTTCCCCTAACTCTTCTGCCTCGCCTCCTCTTGCTCACAGCTAGTTACAGTCTGTGAAACATCCTCTTGGCACTTGATGCATACAGCACAAATGGCTGCTGGACTCCAGAGTCTGATTTGTTGCCCTTTCAATGGAGACTGGCCAAACTGAGCTGCAGACTCCTTCTCCCAAGTCAGTGCCCCCTCGGGGTGCCTCTGCACACAGTGCTGAGTTCATGATGGCTTCTCCAAGACTGGAGCTAACAGAATCCACCAGAGTGCCTGACAGCTCTCCAAGATCTGGTGTTGAGCATACACCCCCCACTCTGAACTGTGCAAAGTTTTTTTGCTTCTAATGATTAGGTCCTTTTTCTTGATCCCGTAGCACAGAAATGTGCTCCCTGGAGTTGTGGTCTAGACGTGGTCACATCTGAACCTAACATATCTTCTGTTTTCACACTAAATAGATTGTGTGATATCATTTCTCATTCTAAAGCAGGTTTTATTGATTTGAGATCCCTTTGCAGTTCTTGCCCATTTGTCAACATTTATATAGGGTAGACATTAGCTCTGGACACAAGTTTCTTCAGGACCTTAAAAAGGGTCTCTCCTCTGCAGTGTCAAGAGTAGTGATCCCTGTGCACCGTAGCAGATTATTGCTACAGAAGGTCCCTGCTTTTATATCACTGAGGGTCATTTTATCTTTCTAGGTATAGTGTGTTCTTAGGAGCTTGTGTTTGTAGCATGCTCTGTTCCACAGATTATTGCCAGTGGCATTTATCGTTAACCTAAATATACTAGCTGGTGGTTGGCCGTATCAGAACACATTTGTATCCTTATTACAGTGTGATTGGGATTGTTCTGACATGTCCATGTGGTGGTTTATCCATGTCTGTGCACAGAGGCTTTGCTAGGAGCTTTATCATCCTTGCCAGACACTTCCCTTGTTTGGGGATTAGAACACTAGGATCAGAAACTGTACTTTTTTGCTTTTGTGGCTTCCTAACAAACCCCAACTATGCTGCACCCTAGAAGTGGCCACATTTGTGCAGTGGAAGCAATATGTCTGTAATTAGCAGGTGTATCAAAGCAATGCTAAAGGCATATTTATGTTCCTTTCTCCTCCCTGCCCTATTCCCACAGGTGTCACAGACAGGCACTGTAGTTGCCATAGCCTGGGGCTGACAATGGGCTATTCAGAGCTGTGCAGGTCTGTAACAGCTCCATAGGGTCTGTGCTGTCTTTTGTATATGTCAGGGAAGGGTTGTGAGCTGGTACTGCTTGGCTGGATGCTGCTGGGACCTGCCCGGCTCTTAGAAGACTCTACTTTTTAACATACTTTAACACTACTCTGACTGCAGGGACAGTGCCAAGGGGGCTGTAGGGATGAGCTTAGTTTGGGGGTTCCCAAAGTTCAGGGGACTCCTGTTTCATAGAGCTCTTCTGTTTTGCCCCCTCTAGGTGGTGAAGGTTGGAATAGTGGAACAATCTTCTGCAACGTCAGGTAACAAGCATCTTGTGTGTGCTTTCTGTGTCATACAGGTGGGGGGAGCCTGACTTCACAGGCTGAACAAACTTGTCCAGTGCTGATGTCTTGGAGTTTTGTAAGGTGAAATTGGATTTCAGTAGCTTCCAGTTCCGCTGTCTTGAGTCCCAGCGGCTGCCTGCAGAAACAGAGGCCTCCCTCTTGAAAGAGGCCCTTTTTCTTTCACAAGGAGCTTCAGGCCAGCTGAAATTCCCACACCCTCATCCAGGGAAGGTTCACTCATATATGTGCAAACACCCATTTTTCTTATGTGTGTTCTCAGTGGAGTGGATTCACCGCTGTGGTTATTTGAGATTCCTGCTCCAAACTGCGGAGGCAGTTCATTGGAAGTTCATGCCTGCCTCCCTATGCTGGGCTCAATTGCCTGATAAAATCAATCTCAAACACGTGCGTAACACTGGGAACTCCAGGATAGGCAACCAGTTTGCCAATCTGACAACAAATTTAGACCCCTTTTTTTTTTTTTAATGGGGGAGTGCAAAGCTGATTTAGAATCATAGAATCATAGAATGCTTTGGGTTGGAAGGGACCTTTAGAGGTCATCTAGCCCAACCCCCCTGCAGTGAGCAGGGACAGCTTTAACTAGATCAGGTTGCTTAGAGCCCCACCCAACCTGACCTTGAATGTTGCCAGGGATGGGGCATCTACCACCTCTCTGGGCAACCTGTTCCAGTGCTTGACCACCCTTATTGTAAAAAAACTTCTTTCTAATGTCTAGTCTAAATCTATTCTTCTTTAGTTTAAATCCGTTATTCCTTGTCCTGTCACAACAGGCCTTATTAAAAAGATTCTCCCCATCTTTCCTGTAGGCCCCCTTTAAGTATTGGAAGGTCGCAATAAGGTCTCCTCGCAGCCTTCTCTTCTCTAGGCTGAACAATCCCAACTCTCTCAGCCTGGCCTCATAGGAGAGGTGTTCCAGCCCTCGGATCATTTTGGTGGCCCTCTTCTGGACCCGCTCCAACAGGTCCATGTCCTTCTTGTACCGAGGGCTCCAGAGCTGGACGCAGTACTCCAAGTGAGGTCTGACCAGAGCAGAATAGAGGGGCAGAATCACCTCCCTTGACCTGCT